GTGAAAATCCTTGGTCCCATAGGGAGATGGCAGCAGATATCTGGTATAATAGGTCTGACCACCATTTCCATGGAATTGAGAAATATTAAGGGCTAAACTTTCAGCTTCCACCAGGAACGAAACAAAGGGCATAGAGACTGCTAATATTGATGGGCATGTTTGTTTCCTGATGTCATTTTCAGCGCTGGCCATATCTGTGGATGATGGTTTGGGACGAGCATTGTAACCCACGCCCATGAGGTTAATTGCCAATTAAGCTTGTTGAGAGCCTTGCTAGTTGCAATTAAAGAAAGCCTATTGGAAATTTGTCCAGGTTCTGATCCTTCTCTCATTGAGCCCCATGAGAGAATCCAGGTCTCTGTTCCGCTCTAGATCCAATATAAATACAATCAACTGCCTAGTTGCACAGGAATAAAAGAAAAACACACAATCGATGATCCAGGGATGTCTTGATATATACAGTACATAGACTCCCAGATTTTGGGCTTGAGACACTGTGGTTTCAGTGCCACCTAGCTATTGATGATCACGGAAGGAGTCTTCAAAACATAACCAAGCAAGTTTATAAGCAATCTGTAAATCCTTCCAACATTTCTATGAGGGGTGGTATGAGCAGAAGAGTTTCCTAATCAGTTATGCATGAATTATGTGGAGAGGGACTCCTCAAGCTAGAGCCTCTGGCTTCAGCCTCTCAAAAGGAAAAAAGAGCTACAAAAAATTTACATGCAATCATCACTAGGGTTTTGGAGTAGATCTGTAACTCGGGTTGTGGGTGTTGAGGTTGGTTGGCTCGCCGAGCTGGTTTCTTGTTCCGCAGACGTTTCATTACCGTGCTTGGTAACATCCTCTGATGAAGCGTTGGTGTGTTTTCCCACTTGGTTTTTAAACTCTGGGGTCCGTTGCGATAGATTGCCTCACTTCCGGGTTTCCTCCATAGTGGAATGTATATGGGGTCGAGTTCAATGTGTTTATTAATAGCATGCTTCGTGGAGTGCCATGCTTCCAGGAATTCTCGTGCTTGTCTCTGCCTAGCCTGTCCCAGGATCTTGGTGTTGTCCCAGTCGAAGTCGTGGTTCTCCTTGTCCATGTGGATTGAGATGAGTGAGTATTGGTCGTGTCTTTTTGTAGCCAGTTGATGTTCATGTACTCTTGTTGTTAGTTTCCTTCCTGTTTGTCCGATGTAGTGTTTCTCGCAGTCTCTGCACGGGATCTTGTAGATGACATTGGTCCTGTCCATGGCCGGGAGTGGGTCTTTAGTTTGGGTGAGCACTTGTCGTAGGGTTGATGTGGGCTTGTGTGCCACTCTGATGCCCAGCGGTCATAGAAGTCTTGTGGTGAGTTCTGACATGTTCCTGATGTAGGGTGGTGTGATGAGTGTGTTGGGGCGTGTAGAATCTTTCTGATGCTGTTCCCATAGGCATCTCCTGACCCAGTTCTTTGGATATCCATTATCCTTGAACACTTGGAAGAGGTATTCGTCCTCCTCTTGGCGTAGTTCTATGTTGCTGCAATGTGTTGTTGCCCTTTTAAATAGTGTTCGCACGCAGCTTCGTTTCTGTGTGTTGGGATGGTTACTATTGAAGTTCAATACCTGGTCTGTGTGTGTGGCTTTTCGGTGTACTTTCGTTTGCAGTTCCCCATTTGTCTTGCGCTCTACCATGACGTCCAGGAATGGGAGTTGTTTGTTCTTCTTCTCCTCTCTGGTGAATTTTATTCCGGTGAGGGTGTTGTTTATGAGTTTGTGTGTCTCTTCTAGTTTGGTCCGTTTAATGATGACAAAGGTGTCGTCTACGTAGCGTATCCATAGTTTAGGTTGGATTTGCGGAAGTCCTTTCCAGTCTCTGCATCACTGCTTCTGCTATGAGTCTGGAGATAGGCGATCCCATGGGTGTCCCGTTGATTTGCTCGTATGTTTGGCCGTTGAAGGTGAAGTGGGTGGTCAGGCATAGGTCCAGTAGTTTAAGCATGTTGTCCTTGGAGATGGTTTCACTGGAGTTGTGTTCTTGTTCAAGTAATGTTGTCATTGCTTCCCTTGCTAGTGGTGTGTCTCTTGACGTGAATAGGACGGTGACATCAAACAATATCATGGTCTCTTCGTCCTCTATCTTTATGTCTTTGATGGAGTTGAGGAATTCTTGGGCTGAGTGGATGGAGTGGGGTGATTTGTTGACTAGGTGCTTGAGTCTTCTTTGTAGTTCTCTGGCTAATCTGTGCGATGGAGTGCCTGGTAGGGAGACTATGGGTCTGAGGGGGACTTCCGGCTTGTGCACTTTAGGGAGGCCGTAGAATTGGGGTGTGTTGGTTCCTTCGGGTTTCATTCTTAAGAAGTCTGTTTTGTTGATCTGTCCTGTTTGTTTAAGTCTTTGTAGCGTGTATAGGATTTAGTTGCCTAGTTGTGGTGTCGGGTCAGTTTGTACTGGTCGGTACGTGTTCTCGTTGGCGAGCAGTGCTTGTGCTTTGGAGATGTAGTCCTTTTTATTCATTATCACTGTCATGCATCCTTTGTCTGCAGGTAGTATAGTGATGTTCTTGTCCTTCTTTAATCTGTCCAGGGCTGGTCTTTCCCGTGTGTTGAGGGTGTTGAGTTCTCTCTTTCTGGTTATTGTCGGGACTACTGTCTGTCTTATAGTTTGTTGTGTTTCTTTGTTGATATTGTTGGTCTTGAGTGTGGCTTCCAGTGTAGCTAGCCATTCCGTTTTGTTGGCGTCCTTGTAATTGTAGTTCAATCCCCGGGTGAGAACGGCTTTTTCCGCGTCTGTCAGTTTCCTGTCGGAGAGGTTCCTTATCCATATGTCAGTTCTGTTGTTGTCGTTTTTATGGGTAAGTGTGGTTAGCTGGAAGCATGGCACTCCACGAAGCATGCTATTAATAAACACATTGAACTCGACCCCATATACATTCCACTACAGAGGAAACCCGGAAGTGAGGCAATCCATCGTAACGGACCCCAGAGTTTAAAAACCAGGCGGGAAAACACACCAACGCTTCATCAGAGGCTGCACTGAGGATGTTACCAAGCACGGTAACGAAACGTCTGCAGAACAACAAACCAGCTCGGCGAGCCAACCAACCTCAACAACCATGACTAGATTAATGTAGAATATCTGGTCAGCGTGGAGGAATTCGACCAAAGCATCTGTTTCCGTGCTGTACAACTCTGTGACTATGTGCTTTGTCTTTCTCATGCACCTCTACATGCAAAAGGAGGAAAAAAGAAATGGGCCTCAAAGTGGCTAATCAGCATTGTTTTACTCATCCCCTCTTGTCGTTGGTACCAAAGGTACACCAACCTTGAGATGGAGATGCCTGATATTTGTAAATCACTTGACCCCATAATGACCTTGAGTATGCCTGAGGGAGTAGGAATTCTGATAGGAAATACCACTTGGGAAATGCATTTATGTTTAGTGGCTGGAGACCTAAGGAATTCCAGTTATTTGCATTATCCCATAAAATATTTTATTTCCCCAATTTTACATATGTGTATCTCTTTCTGAGGTTGTGTTGTGTTGTGTCAATTGTGTTGTATCAAAAAGGGCTTTATTTCCAATGAAACTCCAATGACCAGCGTATTGAGATCCTGAGTTTGGGATTAATGACTACCTTAAGCTTCAAAATGCCTCGTCGGCATTCCAAGCTTGATGTTTGTCACCTTTGGTAAACAAATTCCCAATCAACACATTTCATTCATAACGAAGCAATCTTCTTCATATGTAACTTTTCCTCTACTTGAACTATGTTACTTTATTGCGCTGTGCAGTGACAAGGTACACTCCGGGTATTTTTAGCTTTGCCGGTGGGAACACTGTGAATCCCGCGACATATCTATCCCTTCACTTTCTTGGTGTTCCTCCATCGTATTACATGCATACGCATGCCAGTACACAGCAGAAATGGTTTATTTCTGAAAAGAGATGCAGGTTGGCAAAGATTTCTGTATTGCATTCATCAGGCCAAATGCAAGAATGCAAGAATATCAAATTTCAAACAATCACGAGAATTTGTACAACCAGAGGAAAGGATTTTGGCTTAGCCAGCAACCTGACTCTGAGGGCCGAGGTGTTGACATGGAGAGAGCAATGAAAAGCTAAGAACATCTGGGTAATATGGAAAACAGGAAAAGGCTTGAACGCATTCCTCTTGTTGCAGTGAATGGTAATGGTTAATAAGAGCTGGAGATCCCCAAACCAAATGAAAGTCACAATTCTAGGATTAAAGAAATCTCAGAATATAGCATGGCAAGTACAGTCAAATGTCTTATAAACATTTCTAACATCAAAGGCTTACACTTTTATTTTAACCTTGACGAGCAGTTTGTCAAGGTCAATTCAGGTTGACTAAGACTCATTCTAGGTACTTTAAAAATCAACCTGTTCAGAGATATTATGACACACCTCTGGAGCAAGTACAATTTGAAACAAGGCCTCCTGGCTCAGAGTTAATACTGTGCCACAATGGCCCTCCAGGACTCTCCCATAGCACATCTCATTGGCATTCTGACACAAATGGTTCACTTCAATGCCTGGAAATACAACTATTTATTTCCAATCCCTCCTCATATGTTCGCATTTCTTCTTTTTTAATCTTGCAATGCTTATTTGGATGATTTCATTTGTGGAGGATCTTTGGTCCAAGTAGTGGAATTCTTGCTGGAATTGCATCATTTTAGAAAATGGAAGCTAAACCCTTCAAGAATGGCACAGATGAAATGATCCAGTTCTCACACAAAAAGCAATTCATGTACAAGTACTAAAAGTGTGCGATATCATCACAAGGTATGCCACTACATGTGAAATCCTGTGTTTCGCTTTTTACGTTACTGCACTTAAACCCAGGTTTGAGTTCAAATAGTTTTAATTTTCCATTTTTTTAAACCATATTAATTTTGATAGGGAACTCACAATCCATTGTTTTTGCAATCTACTTAACTAAATTGACAAATTATACATTATTTTACTTAGCAGTGCAGTACAGATATTGTTAAGTGTGAATACACTCACCAATCAATGGGACAGAGTCAGATGTTGCTGGCATTATTTCAGCTACAAGCAGCATAAATACCGTTAAGGACAAGAGCACAGTGATTCCTGTAGGTCGGAAAAGAAGTGGCAAGGTGAAGTCGTGTAAGATTTGCAACTTATGCAGTTCAATTAAAACAAAAATAGCAGTAATACTTTACTTTGACAGCTAAAATCAAAACCACTACAATGCTCAGTGCCACTTTGGCTGGAGGAGATAGGTTTGGAACATAGGAACCTGAGAAACTGGAGCAGGATCAAGGTCAGTTGGTCCTCAAGACTACTCCACCATTCAAGAAGATGAAAATTATTCTCATTGTGGCATTAACTTTGGTTCCCTGCCAGCCTCTCACAATCTTTGACTCACCATGCCCTAATTGTGCTACCCTGTAGGGAGGGCCATGGCACTAAGAGAATGTGAGAAGACATCAAATGCGGTGTTTTGAAAAGGAAACGTTGTGTCTGAAAAAGCCATGCATTCTTTGAGAATGTGATAACCTGGGTTCTCTGCTACATAGGCACGCAGCAGTTAAATGACCTAAACTCCATTTAACTCAACCTTGAATATATTTAATAACTTAAACTCCAATGCTTGTTGCAAAAGATAATTCCAAAGACTAGCAACCTTCTGAGAGAAAGAAAATTCTCACTTTTGTCTTAAAAGGAAACTCCATGTTTCAAATCTGTGCCCCCCACCCCCCCCCCCTTCAGAAGGAAACATCTTCTCTACGTCTATTTTGTTAAACACTCCAAGGATTCTGCCACTTTTCAATACAAACACTTTAAACAAATATCTTTTGGAAATCGAGGTACACTGTTCCTGCAGAGTACAGAATCCCACTTGTCACATCCTCAAAAAAACTCAACTTTGTCAAACAAAGTTTCCTTTTCAGAAAGCCATGTCTGATGTCTTTTCATGCTCTCTGCCCAAAGGCAGGTCTAACTGTCAGTACCACCAGCCTCAGGTTAGGGTAAGGAGGTCAGTCCCAATTCCACCCAGCAGGAATGGGGATCAAACCTAGAATAGGAACATATTCCTCTTTAAAAAGGAGCCAAAACTGTGCACAGTACTTAAAATGAAATTCAACAATACCTTGTACAGTTGTAACAACATTTCCCTGCTATTTTTCACTCTTGGCTTGGAATAAACATTAATATTCCAGTTACCTAATTATTTTCTGCACCTACCTGCTAATCTTTCATAATTTATGAGGACACCCAGATCCCTTTGATCCACTAATCTGAAGTCTCTCTGCATTTAAATAATGTTCTGATTTTCCTATGTTTCCAACCAAAATGGAAAACTTCACTTCTTCTACATTATACACCCATCTGCAAAGATCTTCTCCATGCATTTAAACTTTTACATCTTTGTATCCTTATTACAACTTACGTTCCTAACTACCTATCTCTGTATTGCCATCAAATGCGACTACAAAACACCAAGTCCTATCTACTGTCCTTTCTCTGCAACCCCCATAAGAACACCAACCATGCTTCATTCCCATTTGGTCTATTGAACCACAGTAATCCTCAGCCTCTGGTGGGGTGTCAGTACTCCCACTGACATACACAGAATCACACTGCTGCCTGCATCTGATTAGTTGGCAGGCAAGACTTGCACCACTTGTGTCCTCAAATGCAGGGAATGCCTGACAATGGGCATTTAAGTGCTCAAATGGCACTTGATTTTATCTGGTTTCAATGGGCCTTGAAACCATGTCAGAATTTGAACTGATGTCCCCAAGGCATTAACCTGAGCATCCAGATTACTAGTTCAGTAACTTCACGACTGTGCCAGCATCTTCGCATATTCAAATGAAGAAGCTGGAACACTGTTATTTTTCTCAAATCTGTCATTACTTTCTGGTGCACTCTTACATTTGGCTGCTCTGTCCCTTCCTGTCACATGCTTGTTATCTTTCCCTGTAACTTTATCCTGCACTGCTGCTTTGTTCTTTCTAGCAAGCCTTCTAAATCTCAGATGTGAATACTTCACAAACTCTATACCCTGCTGCTATTGAATTTGAAACCCCTTCAATAGCCCTAGACACACAATTTGCCAGGACACTTGTGCAAGTGCCATTCAAGTGAAAGCTATGCCAGCGTTACAGTTTCCTCTTTTCCCAGCAGTGTTGTCAATGCCCTGTGAATTGTAATCTATTTCTCCCATACCAATCTTTGAGCCATGTGTTCAACTCTCTAATCCTATTTATCCTCGGGCAATTTTCTCATGGATCAGTTAGAAATCGAGAGAGCTGTAAATTGTGTTTTTTACTTTTGATCTTAGCTGCCCATATTCCCACAGGTGCTGATGCTTCTACTCACCTACACCATGACAGCAACACCGACTACAATCACATCAGTAAATTGCAAAATTCAGAACAAAAATTATTTTAAAAATGTTTACCGCACAGTATAATGGAATTATTTATAATATATACCTTTCTGAATCAGGTTCTGAAGGTCTTCCATTTTCTTTTTTGACAACGCAAGTTCCATATGCGGTCCCAGTACCTCCATCACCAATGAAAAGGGTAGGTATTAATTAATTTAGACTTACCTAATGAAATCTTCTCTCCAGAATCAGCTGGTAACAGGAATACAAGGAGTGCCAGTCCAGATATTAAGACACATGGAATCAGCAAGTTTAGTCCATAATAGAGAGTCCGTCTGCGTATCAGCACAGTGTAGGTCACATCTGGATAGGGCTCATCACAGCAATCATAATGGATCTCATTCCTTTTTCCTGGTACTCCTGCAACAGAGCAAGTGCAGGCATATTGTGCTTTTACTAAGCATATAACTCGAACTCGTTTTACCATTGGACAGTGGGAGAGAGGTGCATTATTTTGAGGTGTGCAATAGTATTAAAGGGATGACAGTGAATTGGCTGCCCATTTGTCTCCCTCGTTTCTCTCCGTGGATCACAGTGGTAATGAAAATGGGGAGAAATGTTAAGTGAGCTGCTAATTCACAACCATAACACAGTGTGGAGTTAGAGGAACACAGCAGGCCAGGCAGCAAAGTTGACGTTTCGGGTTGGGACTCTTCTTCAGAAACCTGAAACGTCAACTTTCCTGCTCCTCTGATGCTGCCTGGCCTGCTGTATTCCTCCAGACCCACACTGTGTTATTTCCGACTCCAGCATCTGTAGTTCTTGCTATCTCTAATTCACTACCACCATTTTTTAACACTATTGCATTGCGTCAAAATTACCACCAATGAGTTAGATTTGAATAAATAGTTCTTTTCTCCCTCTCAAAACACTCCCATTTCCTGTGATAAGTTCTGAAAAACTAATCTATTTAATTCGTCAAATTATATTAAATTCATCAGATATTGACTGTTCACAGGGAATAAAAGCAGTGAGAAACCCATACTGTGAAGTTCCATGGTGGATGTTGATACTAAACATTGATCATTGTTTGAACCCTTGCTGATTTTTCATTTTTTTAAATCAGTTTCGTTCTGGAGCTGTGAAGTGTGAGCTGAGAGTTGAAGGTGATCTGTGGTATATGACCAGCAGCTTGTTTTTTTGTAAAAACAAACAAACAAATGTTGTTTGTTTATGACATCAGGTCTAGAAGTTAATTGTAATTTGATTCTTGTCAAAAGTGCTCTACAGCTGCTTTGGCTCCAGGCAGGCCACATGCTCAAGCAGATGGCAGATGTTGAAGGTTAACTGGGACTTTGTGGAAAGGTGGCCAGTGTGGCAGGGAAAGGCCAGAGTTTGAATTGGGTTTTGGACTGTGTTTGGTTTAGAAGGATTGTGCCTGTGAAAGTTACAGGACAGAGGTCTGATTGCTCTCTGGTTGTCCTCTCATTATCAACCTATTGAACATTTGGAGAGTAGAATCTCAGTTGGAAGAGTTATATTATAAATGAATGTTCCTTGGAGTTTACTGGTAGATATTTACATGCATCAGTGTCATCAGAAACCAAACAAGGCATAATTCTACGTCCCAGTGATGTCACAGATCGTGGAATCTGCTTAAGTGAACTTGGCCAGTTCTGTCTTATTTAATTTTCCCTTCGGGATTTATCCCTTAACTATCTGTTTATCTGTTTGCCTTTGTGAAAGAGTAGGATGAGAATTAAAAGAGGACAGGATTTAAATCTTAGACATTAACTAAATTACCCTGTGGTTTAACTTTATTCTGTGAAAGCTATAAATTATTAATAAATTGTTTAAATCTTTAGTTTAAGCTATAAATCTGGTGTCTAGTATTAATTATTCACAAAGCCTGGCTATTCAAAACTCTGGTAAGGAATACCATTGGGATCAATTTTGGAGGTTTTTTTGAGTGTTTCAATTTCACTGTGTTGCAAATACAGGCATAGGGAGACTGATTTGATTCGGCTATCTGTCTCCTTGTTGTAACCATCATATAGCAACCAGTTTACTTCTACCAAAAAAGGGAGGAAGAATTGCATTTATATAGCATCTTTCACAGCCTCAGGGCACCCCATTGCACCTTGCGACCAAATACCTTTTTAAATCGCACTAAATGTAATGCAGGAAATGCGATAGTTAACCTGCTCACAGCAAGATTCCACAAACAGCAATGCAATAATGAGCATGTTTTAGTGACGTTGATTGAGTGATTGAGAAATGGCCAGGGTGAACTCTCATGCTCTTCTTCAAAAATGTCACGGAATTTTGACATCCACCTAAGTGGGCAGATGGGGCCTTGACTGAACACTACATCTAAAAGACAGCATAGCACACCCTTAATACTGCATTGGAGTGTCAGTTTAGCTTTAAGGACTCAACTCACTATTCAGATGTGAGTTTACAGCCTTCTGGCTTGGAGCCATGAGGACTGTCAACTGAATCACAACTGACCAGAGGAGTGGAAACTATCCATATTTGACCCCTGCCCAACAACCTTCAGGTGACTTGTTAAATTATTAAAGATTGCATCAAGTAGTCCTAGACCAGCCCTGTGCTAAATGAGTTTAGATTGCAGAGACAGACAGTCTTCCCAGGGGCTTAAATCAATGGAACGCCGGTCAGGTACTTGAGACAACGCAACTGCCATCGCTTGTTGTTGTATTTTCAGATCATGCATGCGCTGTTTGACAGTTTTACACTGAATCAGGAAGGTGACTGGAGTACTGATTTCTGGATCGATACAAGCCCTTAGAGATGCAAGCCTCCTCAAGTCATCTCATTAGAGTTCACTTGAGGTAATTAAGATTTGTGTCAAATTGGATATTTTTCTGAGACAGAAAACTTTTCTCTCTGGATCTATAGACAGTTCATACATCCGGGCAATGAAAACCAAACTTGAGATGATTTTCCCATTGACGGGCTCTTTAGGTCTGCCGACCAAATTAGCTTCCATGATTAGTCCTTAATGTTAGCCTTGATAACCAATCCATAATCAGCAATGTTTTGTGAGACAGGTTTAAAAGCAGTAACAGAAAAACAAACCTTTAAAAGTAAAAGGATAAGTTGATAAAGCTACTGTTATTGGGTGCTATGTAAATCGAAGTCCACAACTGAAATTCAAAACTAATTCAAATCATTAGTTATGTCACTGTTAAAACATTGATCCAAATAATCTGCTAGCCAGGTAGTCATTGGTGCACCACAGAGTGGTGCAGTTGGGCATAGGGACCATGTGGAATCCCAGATGCCGCACACTGTGGGAATTATCTAGGAAATTGAAGATTCTGATAGTCAATCCGCTTGCGTCTGGAACTCTCTGAAAGAATCTATTAAATTTGAAGAATTTAGATAGGTCCACTTTCATCAAATTAATAGTTACTCAGGAAATGTTAGACGATTAAAAATCTAGTTGAATTCCTGGGTACTCTGCAACCACACCACCGTCCCCGTATACACACTCCTCCACGAGATCCCGCAAACCCCAGACAATCACCACCCTCAACCAAAAATTATTCCATCCCACCCCAGATGTGACACCCTCCTCCCACTCAAAGCTTGATCCCCCAGGACCTAACATTACCATCCCCCTGCCACTGCCACTGCCAGCCTTCATACTCACCCCCATCCTCCCAGACCTATCTCAAGCATTCCATCACTTTCCTGGCGTCATGTCAACATGCTTAACTTGCAACCTACCCACTTGGGAACCTGGTAGCATTCTTAAGCAGCATCCTACTCATGTAGCAATCTAACCCCTCACTTACATATTTACCATTTCAAAACAATGTACTGCTGGACATTGAAATCTCAGATCATAGCACAGTGACTTCTGTAGAATGGGGTAATGATTTCAGCTAGTTCCACATTCTTGAAGGAGCCAAGGTCAAAATTCTCAGCTAGAAGTGCAGAACTCCATACTAATGGAGGGGAGTGGCAATGTGACTGTAATTTTTAAGTTTTGAAAAGTAAGTTTTTAAACTTGTTGCCTGACCATGAAACTGCTGTAGTGAATCAACTGAACCCTATAGAAATCACCAAAATATCTATAAACTTTATATCCAAGAATCTGCTGTTTATAATCTAACTCACATCAAGTCCCATTCACCAACTGGAAGTAGTTGGGTGCTTGGAAGTATAGTTAAGTCAGGTTAGAGGAGTTGGGGTGCATGGGTGGTAGCTGCACGGTCAGAAGGGTAATAGGGATGGGGGCGAGTAGTAGGGTGTTTGGTCAAATAGTCAAGAGGGTTCATTAGGGGCCTGGGTAGTCAATGAGACAGTATGAAGGACTGGACAGGACTGGGAGGATGGAGGGGTGTCGATTGTACAGTGACCCAGGAGTTAGACATGGTTTCAACTTGTCTGCAGGGTAACTATCTGGTTATGTATGGTGTAGCTGTCTAAAGGCTCCATCTCTTGCACAGAGTTGAAACCTTTCATGGAGTGAACTGGGAGCAGGGGAATTACCAATTGGGAGTCCAAACATCCCAGGCGATTCCCATGGAAGTCAATGTGTCAGGAGTTCCACAGGGTGCCAACGAACACTACTCTTTGATAATCCAGAGGCCAGAAGATTGGGCCATGATCCCCTTTCACCCTAGTCTCCTTATCCTATGTACTGAGATGATGTAGTGAAAAACAACTGCTCTGTCACCACATTTGACCATGAGAGCAATGAATTGGTCTCCATCTTTCTTTTGTTTTGTGAGAAAGAATCTATATTCTACTCAACACTGTCCTACAATGGAATGCCTGAGACTGGGAACATTATCACGTAGGATATCTTCCATTGCACAGTTCACTGAATCCCTAATGTAATATATAAACTCTTAATTCATTTTTTTCTGCATGAACATAAGTCAGTGATGATTCACTGCAACTGAGGAAGCCATACATCACAGTGATAAGAGGTAATTTCTATTCAGTTATGGAAATTTTGTCAATTAAAAGTTCACTTAATGTTAATCCTTTGCTATTTTTGCAAACTCATTACACACAAGGCAAGAGATGTTTCTGCTCCCTAGCCCAACACGTTGATCTTACCCAACACTATATCAAAAAGATGGTACATTTTCTTTATTGAACAGTTCATTAGGCCGCCAAAGTAAAATTAAAAATGTCCATTTTGTTTTGAATTTACACTGCAGTATTTTGGTGAAAGCAAGACTTACTTTGCAGCAAGTTTAGCATGTGGCTGGACCTGAGATGACTCAGTGTCATTCAAAAGTTGTTTAACAAGAATTTTTTAAGGGTGGCACGGTGGCTCAGTGGTTAGCACTGCTGCCTCACAGCACCAGGGACCCAGGTTTGATTCCAGCCTCGGGCGACTGTCTGCGTGGAGTTTGCACGTTCTCCCTGTGTCT